GCCATCACTATAAGGGATTAGAGTATACTAAACTTTACACATTATATAGGCTACACTAACATGACGTTCAGGCGGTTCGTTTAACTATTAAACGTGGTATGCGATTTTGGAGAGGTGGTTAATGAAAGTGTTATAAAACGCGACATTAATTTCTTGACGACCTAATACTAGAGTCTATATGAGCTGCATTTGACAAGGATGTGACGAAATATGTAATTTCAGTTTATTCAATCATCTTTCTCGTTAAAACATTTGTTTGTTTTGAGAAGAGGTTGGAAGATTACCATCATTTATTGTTCTGTTAAACCAGAACCAGGTGATATCATGAGCTTGATTACAAAGGATGTTTCAAACATAGGAATTTTTCTCATAACCATAGCTATCATTTGGCAGATGAGGGCGTTGTTTTGGATTGTGGTTTCGCAGCCGTTGTTGCCCTAAACGCTTTAATGTATGATTTTCTGTCCATATCCATGAAGGTTCCCTTTGAAGCGTTGTTTACTTTGACTCTACAATAGTTAAGAATCTTGCTATATGAATAAGTAAATGTTATATATATCTAACATGTCTCTATAATCATAATCTACCTTGGTAACATCGCATTATCAGCGGTCAGGAGTTGACTGTGGACTAAAGATATCGATATTAAACATGTTGCTCAAGACATTAAGACTCCATTCTGTAGGAACATGCTATTGAATTAGCATATAAGTCGTTGAAAGAAAATACGATTAACCTTCGTGAAAAGAAAACAGTTTATTTTTGTTGAAAGAAGCCCTCGTTGTGTTACATGTTTATATAAGGTTATTAATTTGTTTTTTATCTTTTGGTTTATTATTCTGAATAGCTTTAGGCTTCTTTCTCTTCGTATATATTTATTTTGGAGGAGGAACTTTGTCATCCTCCCAAGAAAGTAGCATCCATCTTCTTTATCCTACATATAGTGTTCATATTTTTAATGTTATTAAAAAACGAAACGTATAAAAATGCATTATCCGAAATATTTATGGAGTCTCTGAGTCCTTTTAACTCACCATATTATAGAGTCGGTAGACCCTATATGTAGGGCCAAGGCCAAGGTACTCACTAGACAGGATACAAATATGTATGCTAAAAAATAACAATGACAGAGAGTTTTACTTTAAAAGATGATTGCCACTCACTTTCATTTGTTTCTCTACCCAACAAGGCAAGAAACCATCGCTAAGATACAACACCAGAAAGTGACCAACCTACCAAATTGTTCATCTTTCTTCTTGTTGTGTCAGTCTAGATAACTATACAACCACTTTATCACTATCGTCAGTTTAAACTCTATGTGTTTTGGGTCAGTACACGATTTCATCACTTAGTCTTAATAACTAGTAGTAATTTAAAAAAAATCATAATTGTAGTGTAAACGTTGTTATCATTGCCATTTGAAGTTAGCTTTTTTACAGAAATCTGACGTTCCTATAAAAAACTCAAGTAGATGGTGAAACAGTAATTACCAGCCTATAATAGATGAACATTAGATAACTGGAACATATAATTAACTTAATGCTGACTATACGATCGGAGTCTTTAGGGAGCCACCCCTATATTATGTATGAAGTGAAGGAGTAATAAAAAATCAATACACATATATTAAATTTTGTTACACACATTCATGTAATACACTGACTTTCAGTCAGGGGAAAAACATCACAAAACAAGTAATAAAATTTATATTGTAAATGTAAAAATGATGTAGAGATGGCAGTGCCAAATAGAATATGAACAATAATATAGGGATTATACAGTTATGTATAGGTCATTACTACATGGCTTTCAATAATAAAATTTAATGCTACACTATAAAATGGATACGTGACTTTAATGTTACTGCAGTTGGAAATTATATATTTCTCACTGTTGGTATGTAGTTTGTTTATCATAATAAAATGATCATGTCATGGTAGGCATCAATGTCGTATAGCTAATAGCCTAATACTTACGTACAAGGAAAACCAAGTTGAGTTAAAACATATCTTCATTATTACAGACTCTGGCTACGGGATCAATCGGTCGAATTGACCAATATCGTAACCATTTTGTACTCATGCGTTTTAGAGTATAACATTAAATTTTAACATTGAAAGTCATGTGGGGATGGTCTATGTATAACTGTATCATCCCTATATTCTTGTTTGTATTCTTTTTCGCACTGCCATCCCTACATCATGTATTTTATTACTTGTTGTAACTTAATTTAGGTATGAGTAATGCTAGGACATCATTACGTCTAATCTATTATTCGATATTATACAGCGGACTAACTGTTTAGTGATTATATTACAGATTTCAGATGTTACAGTTGAAAGTGTAATCTGTGACGTAGAGAGTTAATGCATTCTTTGATTCGCTCCACCCTCTGCTGTAGACTGCAGTTTCGCCTGTTCAAGGCTTATCAGCACAGCTTGGGTCAGCAAACCAAAGAAATATAGTTAGGTCTTTTATAATGGTGATGTGTATATAATACTTATGGAACTTTTGAGTCCCTTTTAACTCGCCAATCAGTAATCTAAAGGCATTATCAGAAACGTTAACCATGTTTGTTTTGTTTTACAGAAATACCTGAGGTTTCCACACGACATCGAATAGTCGGGTTATATGGTCAAACAGTTGTAATGAAGTGCTATGTCCAGTCTTTAGTGCCCTTCGTTGTACAATGGTTCAAAGAGGACATTCCAGTCAGCGTGGATCAACAGTTTCCGTGAGTAAATCATCGTGAACTAATACAGAATCAGAGGATCACCTAGGTTAAGGATCATTTTCTATTTATTGAAACGTATACTAGAGCAGAGGATCACCTAGGTTGAGAGAGTTCTGCTTTTGTAAGGCTTTGGAGCTTTGAATTTTGGCCTTAAGGGTTCATCATCTAGAAAGTTCTGCCTTTGTAGGGCTTGACTTCGTGAAGATTTCATTCTTGGCTTTAAGAGGTCATCATCTAGAGAGTTCTGCTTGACCTCATGGAGCTTTAATTTTTGGATTTAAAAGGTCATCTGGAAAGTTCTGCCTTTGTAGAGTTTGACCTCATGAAGCTTTCATTTGTGGCCTGTATAAGTCATCATCTCGAGAGTTCTGCTCTTGTAGGGGCTTGATCTCATGATGCTTTCATTCTTGAATTTAATAGGTCATCATTTAGAGCGTTCTGTTTTTGTTGAGCAACTTTAAAACGTTTCTGTCTATTCGTTTAACGTCATAAATTTTTCAGTTTACTAAAAGGTGTGTGATGTGATATTCAAGTCTTTGCCAAACTTTTAAAATATAAATATTAGTGAGGATAAACATTGTGTGTGTGTGTATGGTGTTAATTATGTACTCCAACACCCACAGACTCTCAAGTCCAGAGTATTCAGTTACAGAAGACAGGTTACAAAAGTGATTGGAGACGTCGTCGTCTATGGACTCTCTAGTCCAGAGTATTCAGTTACGGGCTCTAGTCCACAGTATTCAGCAATATCAAAGCTATTGGAATCTATAATAAACCTTCTACCAAACGCTGCCTAAATTGTCTGTCAAAAATTGTGAAGGGGAGGGGGTCCCCTTCCTACTGAAAAAACATATGTTCAGTAGTCACAATTTTAACGTCCCGCTCCCCACTGGCACAGCGGTATGTCTGTGGACTTACAACGCTAGAAACCGGGTTTCGATACCCGTGGTGGGCAGAGAATAGATAGCCCATCGTGTAGCTTTGTGCTTAATTACAAACAAACATAGTATTAACATTTTGCATATTAATAAGTAACCATTATATTATTTGTGTTAATAATACTTTATTATATGTTTAAATATTTTTTTCTACAAACGATTGTTCATAAAATCACAACCTCGTTTGTTTTTTCACTAATAATTGTATATATATATATATATATATATAGCCTGTTTTTTGTTCTAATTTCGTGTTACACGCGATTATCGTAAAATTATGGATTTTGTGTGGAAAACAAAGCTGTTTGTAGGAATTCCTAATTTGATTTTTGTCGGACTAGACAAACTGCCGAGATAACCCTCGCCGTTCCTGATGTGACCCTACTCTCCGAGGGACTATTCTCGTGCAACGCTTCCAATATTGCTGGAAGTGCGTCCAGTACAATATACTTGGATGTTGTGGGTGAGATGAATGTTTATTTTCCTGAAAAACAACAACAAGAATATATTATTTATTAAGTCTTCCCCATTTCCAAACAATGTAACTTAAAACTGTATGTATTTTAACTGAACGTGATGTAATGAAGTGGTTTGTATACAGTTTTTATACTAACAAAATACCAATTTTTAGCCGTTAGGAAGTTAAAAATTAAATACTCCAAGGAAGTACCAGGTATATATATATTGTCCTAAATCATATTTTACCGTAGATGTAATAACTGCTCTTTAGGGAAGTACCAGGTATATGGTACTTCCCTAAAGATCAGTTATTACATCTACGGTAAGAGATATATATTGTCCTAAATCATATCTTACCGTAAATGTAATAACTGATCTTTAGGGAAGTACCAGGTATATATTGTCCTAAATCATATCTTACCGTAGATGTAATAACTGATCTTTAGAGAAGTACCAGATATATATTGTCCTAAACCATATCTTACCGTAGATGTAATAACTGATCTTTTGGCGTCTGTTGCCAGTCAATAAAAAAATGACACTTAAAAAAGTTATACCTACCAAGTAGTTTAATACTTCTTATCAATCATTGTAAAACTACAGGGAATCTTCAATAGCCGCAGCACTTGAAATTATTTTAAGCAGGATTAGAGTAAATTAATCTATGAGACCTTTTTGATTTTTCCTTTTTATTAGCTATAATTCTGTGCGCCAGCGTTGGGCACACATATACACGATTCGATTTTATTACTCATCAGGATCTCTACCAGCCTATGTTCAAATTGAAATTATTATAGGCAGGGTTAGAGAGGGTTTGATCCCCTGAGTCCAAAACTGAAATTAGATCTCAAATCGGTCATGAGATGACGTAGTTATGAGCAGAAAGTTTGTACTTGAAAAACTCAGAACCATTCTATGAGCCGCTGTGCCGCGGCTAAAAGTCAGACTAGCTTACGAATTAATTGTAGTATAACTTTGTTTAAGTAGGATGATCTACTTATGTTTTTGTCTTGGTTTCTTTTCTAAGGTTCTCATGTCTTGAGCTCCATTCTAATGATAACTTTCCACCGCAGAGTCTGCTTTGTTTTTAACTTTAGAAACAGTAGATTCGTGTTGTTACAGAGCCCCCACCAGTCATCGCTAAGCCTAACAACATCAGCGTCACTCCAGGATCTGTGGCAGTGGTTACGTGTGATACATCTAGTCTTGTTGACCATAACACAACATGGGACAGGCTGCTCGATGACGGTACAAGGACTGGATACTTGCGGTCAGTTCCTATTAAAGCTGATTCACGAGTAGAACAACTTGATAACGACTCCCTGGTGATCCACCGTGTCGTTCAAGACGATGAAGGCTGGTATCGTTGCATTGCAACTAACGAGGGGGGTTTATCTCGACAAGATCTTTACCTCATTGTCCAAGGTCTGTTGTTTCCTCTTTGGTAACCACTTAAACTTCAAGTGTTTTTAAATATTTGTTTCGTTCATTGCCGTAGCTTAGCAGTATAGGCTTTAACGTTTTCTGACACATATTTAAAACGTAAACATCAATATTTTTTTTTATAAAATTAAAGGTGTGTCGAATATCGTGTTAAGGTCATGTAACAGCTACAAGAATCATGTAAGCATGTCATGAGTTGATCAACGAAAAATCTGTAAAACATGAGAACGAGAAAATCAAGAATTACCGCAAAATGAAAACTGAAAGAATGTTATATTTCTTTTAGATCCCCCAAAAGTGTCTATAGTTCCAGCCAGCGTTAATTTCACCACAGGAAGTAAAGTGAATCTCACGTGCGTTGCTGAAGGGTATCCAGCTCCTTTTGTTGAATGGCGTTGGAATGAGGCCCACGACGAGGATGTTCAAACAGGTCGCATTTTCGTCTCGAGGAGCTCTTTGATAATACAAGAAGCCCACCAGAGGGATCAGGGACGGTACCTCTGTGCTGCTAGAAATCCTGCTGGATCTGACACAAAGACTGTGCAAGTCCGATACATAGGTAATATAAACTGTATATAGATCGGGAAGTTTCTAATGTAACAGTAATCCATCTAGTTATTACTATGTAACAGTGATCCATCTAGTTATTACTATGTAACAGTGATCCATCTAGTTATTACTATGTAACAGTGATCCATCTAGTTATCACTATGTAACAGTGATCCATCTAGTTATCACTATGTAACAGTGATCCATCTTGTTATTACTACGTAACAGTGGTCCATCTAGTTATTACTATGTAACAGTGATCCATCTAGTTATTACTATGTAACAGTGATCCATCTAGTTATCACTATGTAACAGTGATCCATCTTGTTATTACTACGTAACAGTGATCCATTTAGTTATTACTATGTAACAGTCTTATACAGTCAATTGTAAGATGGCCGGGCGTTGCTTGTGGTTAGCATGCCCGTAGTGTGAACCTGAGAATTTATGTTCACGACCAGTTACCACAAAAATGCACTTGGTGTGCTATAGAAGAGACGATTTGTTTCTTTGTAATTAAGCACAAACTACACAATGCGCTATCTATGCTCTGCCCACCACTGATATCGAAACCCGGATTCTAGCGTTGTAAGTCCACAACCATACCGCTGTGCCACTGTGGGCAGATGAGACGACCAAATTATACTATTCGAAAAGACAATAACAGCT